GAAAGGTCATTTAACAGGGCCAGTGGAGAGGGATCCAGATGAAGCAATGTATCCAATAATATTTATAGCCTTTGTTCTGTGATTTAGAGCCAGCATCTAAAAGTAGGAGACAAACCCAAACAATGCTGAAGTTTGCCTCCTGCTTTTAAAGTTCAACATGACAGAAGTTCTCTTTAAGAAGAACATTTATCACTCATAGGACAGAGAGTCTAATAAGACATTTAAACAATGAAAGAAAACATAATCATGTTTCTCTGATGAGCCACAGCAGGCCTTGCTGGAGCGTGAGAGTCATGCTTACTAAAGCGCACACGGTGAAAACAGGCAGCCAAAACCTCAGGAGGAGTTGTTTTTCACAGGCCTGTGTGGTATGCATGTGTGCCTTGACCCAGTCTGGGCCAACTCATGGCAGGCTGGTTGGCATTCCTTGCTCACTCTGTAATTGTGGCTCTGCACCGTATCACTCTGCTCTTCTCTCATCTGCTCTCTTTCCAACAACCAGTAACGCACATTTACAGCAAATAGCTCCCACTGTTCACTCGGATAGTCAGTTCAGGATCCAAATCTAAGAATAGGTTGTTACCAGTTGGGATGAAAATGGGCCAGCAGAAGCTACATGTTTGTATACTGTTAGATGTCTCTTTTTGTATTTTGCCTTTTGTTTCTTATTTTCGTAAAAATGAAGCATACAGTAGCTGATCAAAAATGATTGACCTTTAAAGGGTATTTGGTGTTGGTTCTTAAGGTCTCTGAACAGGGTGTGTAACATTGGTTGGGCTGGAAATGGCATATTTACTGTTCTATGAGCCCTAATGCAAGCCTGGTTAAAAGCCCTAGAATGAAACGACAGGTTTTTCTTGCTTTTATGGTATGCTCATGAATATTTAGATCAGCTGTGCGCTGATTGGTTGGTTTAAAACAAGCGAAGCTGCTGAGCAAAGAAGCATCATAGCAACAAGCACTCACTCACTGAAACATCGAACTTGTTGATATGCATAGAATGACCAGACGTCCTCCTTTTCCAGGGAGGGAAAAAGAGGACGTCAGGGAGCCAGCGGGGAATAAAGCCACTGAACCCGACCCGGTGACGGTAGCCTGGACCCAGGCGACCCCGTGCTTCCACCCGCCTGCCTCCCCTCCTCTGGCTGAGGACAGGCGGCTCATGACTCTCTGCTGAGGTCTGGTCTGGTCCAGTCAGCGGCCCCGGCAGTCGACACTTCATAACCTCCTTTCTACTGTTACCACCACTCTTCTCACTTAAAGAAGTATCTGCTTCTAATAAAAAATATCCCAGCAGAATGGGAAGCGAAACGTCTTCAAACTCACTTAAAGTACAGAGGATTTTTTTTTACTTTTTTGGAATTACCTCAAAGATTAGATATAAGGCCTATCATCATTCTTTGACAAGAGTTCTTGGTTATTAAGATGTACCATTCTGAACACCAATGTGCTAACGTCTGTTTCCACTTATTTACTTTCAAAGCAAATTATCGGTTATTGGTCCGATATTAGCCAAAAAACTAATATAGGACTTTATTGGCAGGCATCTAAAATCTCCTATATTTTCATGCTGATAGAAACACTCTGCTTCTACTAAACGGTTCTGTAACTCATTGGTTAATTTTACATGGGTCTGTTGTTTTCATACCTTTTGTTGTTAACTTTTGTTCCCCGTTTTAGCAATATTACTTGATCAAGCCTTTTGTAGTATTTAAGAGTATAAGATTCATGCTAATATAGTATTGGGTCAATATTGGTATTGGCCAATTCTCAGAGGTTCAATATCACTATCAGATCAGAAATAAAATAAGTTGTATAAGGACATCCCTCTCTATTACCCAACATTTCTCAGTTATAGATTTCTGAAATCCTACCAAAGATAATAAACAAGCAGTTAGGAAAATAAAGACCCAAAGGCTAAGATACACAAAATAGTTAACTGATGGCAAAGATTGTTAGCTCTGGCAGCATATAAACTATACTGAATGTGGACTGAGATTTTAAAATGAATGATAGAATGACAGTCTCCTTGAAATGTTGGCAGCTACAGTACAAAGTTTACATTAACACTATACAGCTCATACAAATCCACCGTTCATGGGACGGTTGTTGAAATATTCAAATGCTGATCTCCCCTGAACATCAGATAAGAACAGATTTTTTATCAGATAAGATTTCTGCCACAATTCTGGGTTTAATGCTGGTTTGTTAGCTCTCCAAGCTAATGCTTTGAGACAACATTCCTGCTAACTTCCTCCCAATCAAGTCCAATTTGCTATAACACCAGTATGGTATTCAAAACCACTACCATTCTGTATCTTGAGGCTTAATCTCTTTGTTATACATATTTTTTTCTATTTCAGACATATAACCATCATAAGCTACAAGCCTGAACTTCACTCAAAAGGAGACGATGTATAACTGATGAAACATGCTGCATTAAGAAAAGCCTTTAAATTTTTTCCCTTCATATTCTCGAACCCTGTGCAGTGGAAGAGTCTACGTGTCTCAAACCACGTTGACACAAACCTCCAGTGGTAACAGAGGAAGTTGCTCATGCCATGTACAACTTTAGTTAGAAATACACATCATTGTAAGTTGTTTGTTTTCTGTAGTTTATATTCAACAGTTTTTGCACACCACCTGTCATTTCTTCAGAGTCCTATAATACTTGAATGCTAATACATCTTAGCTGTGTTTTTATGCAATATAAAACCAAGGCCAGAGGCAAATTTGCATGAAAAACATAAATATTTGGCAATAGCAAAACATACAGACTCACAACACATCTACTGTATATGAAAGAATCTCTCAGAACTTCAGACAATCTACTCCATTCATGCAGGCGAAGGCACATGACAGGCCTGCAGCAGAAGGATTAGCACGATCAGATGAACAACACTCAATACCACATTGTTCCTCACAGTTCAACACTTGTTTTTCTCCCCCCTCGAAGTCTCCCTGCAGCTTATCAGACGAACTAGAACCAAATCTCTCCCCAAACTTCAATCGCCTACAGCCCATTTCCTAACATACAACTGTTAACAATCTTCAAATCTGCAGTGCAAGAGATATCAAAGCTTTCTATTGTACTTTTCTCGGTAAGGTTATGAACGTAGACCCTCTGTTCTTTCAAATCATCTGATATTTGGGAAACGTAAACAGTCAATTTGATAAATCTGCTTTAGGCTGTGCTCTGTTGACTTTGTTTAATGGTGACATCTGCATCTGGGTGATAAAAGGCATCATGATGGGTGTGTACCACGCTGAGCTCGTCATCTCTGCTCCATACTGATAAACATCCAGCTCCGCTCAGACAGATCTACTCCATCACAGGTGAATGTGACGGTCTGGAGAGTGAATTAGCGGCATGTGGTCCTGCTTTAAATGCAGGGCTTTTTACAGTGCCTTTTGAGAACAGCACAAAGTAGAGAATATTTATGGTGTGGAAGGAGAAGACAAGGAAAAAAGGTTCTCCAGATTCTTGGGGAAAAAAATCTGTAAACTGTGGCATGCATTTGTATTTAGCATCTGCAGGAGCACCTTTTGCTGTGATTATGGATGTAATGTCAGTACTTGAATTTAATGCATTGGGGGGAAGTAATCTCTAAGGTAAATGCATTTCAGTTTACAGCTTGTAAACCCTCCTATTCTCCATTATCACAAAGGCCAAATGTTACAATGACAAAAACAATCTTCTACTCAGTGTTCTGTTCAAACACATATAATCAAAACATATCATCCTCTTAATGACTGATTTAAAGCTGCATACACAACAATGAGCAAACCAAGCATCAAAGTAGGAAAGTTTAACTACTGCTGCAGTTAAACTGCTGGTAGCATCCATCTTGAAAGTGGAGGTCAGGGGCAATTCTGCTGCACCGACTTTCCAAAATGTAATTCCTACTTTTGGAGGAGTTTAAGTTGTAATTTACAACTTATAAACAGAAAAAAAAGTCAACTTCTGATAAGAAATTGAAAGCAACATACGTCTCGTGGTAAAATGTCCATGATAACTCTGCACATCTAGTTTTGGATCTCCACAGATCCTCTAAAGTAACCAAGTTTCCACCGATGGTCACATCTTAGTTGGTTGGCAGCTCTACTGCTTTTTAAGCTGGACTAATCAGCGCTCTGTCTAAACCTTTCAAATCTTTACCTGAGTGGTGCTCCTTGAGCTTCATAATACTTTACTGTCTATAGAAAAGGTCTGATACCTTCCCAGAATCAATATATTTGGGTTACTGAACAAAAAGTAACAAGGTGACTGAGTGGATTTATTTAAGATTATAAAAGTGAAAGGAACACAATACATACCTTTTAAATTTTAATATGTAAAAGATGCAAATAAACAAATTTCTCTTGCATGTGTCCAAAAAAAATATCAATTTGTGATTATATTGTAACAAAATGTAAAACAAAACAAAATAAAAGAAAAATAAAGCTGTTTAACTACTGGCACAATGTAGTGCAAACTAGCCAAAATAGTCAGCGTGTTTAAGGATAACAGGAGAGAAAAATACCCAAATAGCCAAGGAAGTATATCACTAAAAAGTCAGCAATAATATGTATGCTGCACAGGAAGCAGTTTGTAAAGTGCCTTGAAAATTGACATCATCAACATTTTTCCTTTGAGAGGGGATAGAGCCAAGCAGCCCCGCCTCTGCCCCCCTCACCTCTTAAATGGCTGTAATGGAGATTAAAAGCTCCAAGATGTGCTCACCTGGCAATGGTGTAAACAGGCCTGGACTCGCCACAAAAGAAGAGCATGCAGGCGTCCTCAGTTGACTAAAACTGAGCAAACATTGCACCTGATGGCAGTGTGCAAACAAAGCCATGTTTGATGTTTTGGGAAATCAGAGGCAAATTTGTACCTTTCACGGTGATGATGATGATGCCTTTTCTCTGCCCCCAAGTTTAACTGAATCATATATAATGAAAATGTAAAAATGATTTTCCTACCTGCTTTTGTTTTTTAATGAGATCAAACAATTTCTTACCTATATACAGGGAGGAATCTTTCTTCTTCACATGATCATCAATGTAGGAAACTCCAAGGGGCTGCACCGGCGTTGCCCCGATCCCCAGCAAGACCTGGGCCCCGATGAGCAGCAGGTACATCATGTTGGTGTTGGGCTTGTGGGCACATTGAGCGTCCTCCTGAGGCTCACCAGAGCTGGTGTTGGAACAAACATCCCGACCAATGTCAGTCCTTTGAATTTTGTCCATCTCATACTGGTTTGTCAAGAACTCTGGGAGTGCTGAGAGGAGAGCTCCCAGAGCCATGATGATACCCCCGCAGCCGATGAGTCGGGGCCGGTGTGCTTTGGCCCCAAAATAGCTCACAAACAGGATCAGCGCCAGATTGCCAATCTCAAAGCTGCTAGCTATCACTCCCACGTCGGCACTCTGCAGGTTGAACCGCCGTTCCAGGGTGGTCAGCACACTCACCTGAGATCAGAATGACAAAAATGAGTCAAACAGTGACCTCAAAGGCTGACTGATTCTCAGTCAGGCAGGTCATACTCATTCCAAAAAAGTTAAAAAACAATCCACTGGACTTTGTTTTCGAGTTTGAAGCCGTTTTGCTTCCCGTCTAGGAAGCTTTTTCCTAAAAAAAAAAAAAAACATTCCAAAGGGGCAGACCTGTTCATCTGCTTTAATTTGCATGTTTTCTAAGGAAAAATAAGGCTTTGTTTTTGGTCCACTCTATAAAGCCTCGGACTCAATGCTTATTCTGACATTTTGAATTGAAAAAGCTTCCTGGATGGAAAACAAAACGTCTTCAAACTTGGAAACAAAGTACAGTGGATTGTTTCTTTCTAACTGTTTTGGAATGAACTCAAAGATTTCTTGGTTGTTAAGATGTACCATTCTGAACACCTAAGTGCCAACTTCTGTCTCCACTTATTTACTTTCAAAGCAAAAACTTCTGGCAGAGAGAAAATCAACCGAGCGTTTGTTCAAAGCAATTTGTTTGCAACACTGTGGTAGTAAAGTCATCCCAGGACCTGTTATTAAAGATTGAAAACTGTGTGAATTCCACTCCAACTTCTTTAACATACAGCAGAGTTATATATCATGACCTTAATTACAATTCGGACACTACCTTATCCATATATATTGAACTTTTTAACCTAAGGTTTCTGGTAAAGTTTCTTTCCACTTCTATGTAGGTTCACTTGTATCTGAACGTATTTTATATTATGATGTTATACTGTACCTATTGGCACCTAAGTTTGAATATGTAAAATAAGTACTTTCATATTTCCCAATTACTTTAACCTGAATAGAGTCCCATTGGGAGCAAGAAAAATCCAATTAAAATATGTTGCTATGGTATTTTTATTCCTGTCATATTACACAGGGTGTAAATATTTTGTTTTTGTTTTTTCTGTATCTTTATCTGCCTATGGCTTATGGTATGGTATCAATAATTACTTTTATATTAGAATATTTTCTGTGTTTTGTTTGTTGTTTCACCTTGATGATAAATTGACACAACTACTTAGGCTAAGCTACCAATCACGAGTCAGTCATTAGTTTTTTAAATGGGATGGCGCACAGGACAGAAAGAGGGAGAGGATCCTACTCTTCAGGGAGAGAGTATCAGGAAGAAAGCAGGCGGCCATGTTGAGGAGCGCCAGAAGAGAGGATGATATGGAAGACAACCAGTAGATTAAGGAGAGTAGCAGAACAGGAGAAGCAGTAGAAAAAGCAGGAGCAGTGGTTTTAGGAGGTGGGAGTGCTGTAAGGGATTAAGGGGAATGATCAATTAGCTCTCCTCTTTGGACCAAAAAGTTTCCTACTGTATTAGGAACCTTTTATCTAAGTTTCAGTTATCTTTTAAAAAGGGGTTTTAAGATAAACTTAAAAAGATAAAATAAAAACTTAATTTAAGACTTTTGTCTTTATTTTACTGCAGTAAACCTTATAACTATTTTATTAGGTAATTTCTTGCTTTGCTGCCAGATTTGCTCCTTTTAGCTTTAAAAAAAGAGGGTGATTGCACACGTGTTTAGTGTGGCTCCTAGTGTTAAAATTAATTTTTAAGTTAGTACAGTTGTTTTCACACGAGCTTTAGTCACTCAGGACCAAACGCCAGAGTACTTGGAGAGCATTATGTCTCCATGACAACTGGTTGAAATCCGGAAGCGCTGCCACTGAAAAAGTAACAGAGATGAAACTTTCATGATGGAGACTGAAGTCTGCAGTTATTTGCAGCTCTCGCCTTTTTTTTTTTCTATTTGGTTTGCATGTACAACTACTAGCAAACTTTAAGTGTTAGAAAATCTGTTAGTTCAATCTCTAACGTTATGCTCTCTCGGCTTTTCCTCTTAGTAGCTTCGCTCCATCCTGGAGAGAAATATCAGCTGTGCTGCTGCCATCAACACCTTTGTTTATAGGTGTTGGAGATCGGCCTGTTTTTCCAGTGTAGTCCTGTTTCTCTGACTGTGACTGGCTGGATGTGCTCTCTTCATCCTCTGACATTGGAGCTGGCTCTGAGCTTGTCTGCATGGCTGTGTGTTTTCTGGATGGGGCCGCCTTTTACAGTTGCCTTTTGTATCTCTGCTTCTGTCTCCTTGAACCCCAGTTGGCCTCAGCAGATGGCTGCTCACACTGATCCTGGTTCTGCTGGAAGTTTCTTTCTGTTAAAAGATAGTTTTTCCTCTCCACTGTCGCTACAAGCATGCTTAGTGTGAGGGATTGCATTTTAGTCAATAATTTGATGCAATGAACTGGTTGTCCTTAGATAGAAAACTTTGAATCAATTTGACTGTATGATCTGGTAACTGTTAAGTGGCTTGAGATGCCATGTGTTGTTAATCAGTGCTGTATAAATAAACTTAACTGAATTGAAAATGAAGCATGGCTGTGGCAACATGCAAGATCCTCAGTAGAAACACATACCGATGGCTGACATCAACTAGTGCGCACTAGAGTTCAGATGGAGCCAAACCAAAACCACCTCTTTAGGTCGCACTAGTTTGGTGTGCATTAATAATAATGGAAATTTATTGATCTCACATCGGAGAAATTTACCTCTGCATTTAAATCATCCCCTCGGGGAGCAGTGGGCTGCCATTGTGTGGTGCCCGGGAAGCAATTGGTGGTTAAGGGTCTTGCTCGTGAACCCAGAGTGGAGGCAGTGGGATTCGAACTGGGTACCTGCAACTTTCTCAGAGCACAAGCACAGTGCTCTAACCCACTAGGTCAACACTCATTCTTAGAGTGCAATTGTGCTTTCATACTGACCCACACAGGGCCAATTATAGATCGACCTAAACATGCAGGTGAAAATCTTGTCAACTTTAGGTCAATCTAAACCTGCAGCTGCAGGTGTGTTTTCACACTGGCAGCTTTAGGACTGAATTTAGGTCAATGTAAATTTAGATCGACCTAAGCTTATTTTTAAAAGTATGTGTTAGTTTTTCACCATTTTATGTTAATATCACTTTTACATGTAAATATTTTATAAGAAAAAAACAACCCTAACATAACGATGGGTTAGTGTTTATGAGGTCATTGCTGCCAGAATGGGGGGGGGGGGGGGGTGAGGGAGTCATCAGTGTGCTTTATTCCTCTTTATTGGCTCTATGGTCCCTCTCACCAGTGCTGTGCATATGCATGTTAATCGAATGCAAGCAGAGTTGTTTTGACTTGTTGGACGCAGCTGCCCTGATGTACATACACTGCGCTCAGTTGTGTCACGTAAATTAGTAGGCCGATGTGGTTCTGCCATTTGCTGATCGGAGCCGAGTTGTTTTAAGGCAATTTTAACCCACATCACTAGTTTGACCCAGGTCAACGCAGGTCAGTTAGCCGTTCCAACTGCCACTTAAAGCTGATTGATCGTGGGTTTAAACAGTTTTTTTGGACAGAGGGAAAGGATATATTAAAGCACATTCGGACTCTAGTTCGGCCTGAAGAGGTGGGCTCTGTTCAGATCCAGCTGAACTAGGCACACTAGTCGATGTCTGAAAACAGCTGTACTTTGGTGCAATAATCATCAAGAAAGTTTTTTTTTCCATTTATCTCCGTTACTTTTTCTGCGGCAGCGCCTCCTGATTTCATCTGGTTTTTATGTAGATAAGATGATCTCCAAGTATTGTGACATTTGGTTTGAATGACGAAAAGCAACTGTACTAACTGAAAAATTAAACAATGTATCATTTTAAGTAGGCCTGAAACAATTAATCGGATAAATCGAAAATTGAAATAATTGTCTACTAATCTAGTAATCGATTAATCGTTAACTGGAGTGTAGAGACTCTAAAACCCACTTAGAGCAGTAATTATACCAACATTTTAAATTTCTGTCTATCAATAAGCTTTTTCGAGAACTCCACAAGTGGAAGTGGACTTTCACCTGGTTTATTTTCATAAATTGCCTTCTTTAAGTAATCCTTTTTATCTGATTATTAATTGATAAATAAATTAAAAAAATGTTTTTAAAAATTGTTATTTTTAGCCCTAAAACAATGTATCATTTTAACATTCGGAGCTGCTCTGCCGTGTGCACAAAGCATGTGTGCAAACACCCTGAATTAAATACAATTCTTTGATGCACTTTTCACAGACTCACTTTTATTGAGTTACCCATCCTTTAAAGTCAAATAAGAAAAATCAAAAGCAAAACTTTACTGTAAATTCAGGCCTTCTACAAAACCTTCTACAGCAGTGGGGCTTCAAATAGGGATGAATGGGGTAACTTGTTAAACTTAAAATGCGAACGCTAGATTTAAAAAAGTAATGATCTATCTGAAACAGAAGATGGCACATGAATGAACTCTCACACTTGTTGCTCTGTCTTCAGCTAAGGTAATAAAAGTTTGCATCCCCAGCCATGGCTGTTACCCTTTTGAATAGACAACAGAGAGTATCTAGCAATAGCAGTAAAAGAAGTGGAATGTGAAGGCTGTATATTTACATTATGATACAGATTGAGTATAAATACATCTTACAGTAATAACTGTAGCAGCATGAATGCATGGAACACTACTAAAGATGGAGAAGATAAGCCGATAAAATGAGAGTGAAAAAATATACAGTAAAGCTTGTGTCTCCGGCTACACGACTTTAGAGTTTCTCCTCTTCTTTGATATCCAGGTGTCAGAAGTGATGGATGCAGGTAGGTCTTGCAGCTGGTCTCAGCATGAGCGCAGGAGGACCCTCCTGGTAGTTCAAAGCAGGAGGAGAGTGACTTTTGGGAGCACTCAGACTCTCCCACCGATTTGAAGGGAATGGAAAAATTTGGTCCCTAGGGTGGCTATTTCTCATAAAAAAAAATACACTGAAAACACAGGGCTGGCTCTTCCCAGAGAGGAAAATATCCAATCAGATCCTTTGCTCTTATGGAAGATCTGAGTAACACCTCTTCTAAGCAAGATAGATTCAACATGTTCATCTCCTCAGCTCTGACCTCAACAGTCAGCTTTCCAGGAGGAGTTAAACCACCATGAATTATACAGGGAAAAGAAAGCAAATGGAAACCATTCGGTCACTGGTTACAGCCACATTTTGCCCAGATTGCAGTGGAAATGTTTCCTCTGCTCCACGGCAACAAGCACACTTCATAACACTGAGATGCAGCCTGCCTCATCCGAACAAGAAGACTTAGAGTCACTTATCAGGATTAGCTGCAAAGGTGTTTATACCTGCACAGGCCTAGTGCAGCAAATTTCTCCTGTAGGACATTATGGTTTAGTTCCAAGGTGGAAATGATAAAATGATGGGGTTTTTTGCAACGGTCCAGCAGCTCTGTTTAACCCAAGCTGAGGCTGTTTGGAAAATGTTCCACTCTGGTTTATGAGGTGGAACTTACTGACTGTTGGTTCATGGTACTTTAGTGACGAAGAGCAATCAGGCTAAAGATCAGTTATGGACAGGAAGAATATCATCTGCTGTGATTTGATGCCTTCTTTAAATATTATAAGCACACTTGGATTCAAATAAGAATAACCCAGTGCACATGTTGGGGAAAAATAACCCACAAACTTCGTCAGTGTTGCTTGATGTCAAGTTCTCTCACATCTAAACCTCTGCACATAAAACCCTGGGCGACGTGACAGAATAAATAATCAAACTGTACAATTTTCCATTTATGTCTCCATTATCTCAAACATAATTATTACCTCTTTTAGAAACTCATCAAGATATTATACAAAATACTGTAGGACATAGCCAGAAACAATACAAAGGGTTTCTTGTTGGGCAGGGAATGACTCTCCTTGGTTGTTGGTTGGAGGCAGCACAGGTCACTTCAGACATAATAGTTGAGGTCTGGGTGTTTGCCTCACTTCCCAGCTCCAGATTTTAAGTGTCATATTTGGCTGTCGTCACAGACAAGTAACTACTCCCAACAAACCATATATTCTCAGCGGCTACGTCTGGACATGAGTCACAGAGAGAATTTAGCTCTCGATTGCACATAACTCACTGTACCTTCAGGTATAATTAAACTGATTTGTGCCAAACTGAAGAGAACTTAACTCATTAGAGATTTGAGAAATTATAAAATAGGGTTTAATGCAACGTTATTAGAAAGTAGCATAAAATTAACCTAACGAAGACGCACGGATTGTGATAGTTCTACTTGCTTAGTTCGATAGATATTAAACTGCAAAGAAAAATAGGCAGAAAAGCAATTGCTGCGTTTATAGCTGCCAAATGGTTTGCTGACAGGTAAAAATAAAGGATGGATGAAAATCTTTGCAAGTTTGTTTTGTCTCGCTCTTGCAGTCAGATGATGAATAGGAATAGAACATCTCTGTTTGTCTTGTAAAGTAATGAGCTCGCAGAAACGCAGGGAGGCAAGGAGACAATGATCCTATCAGAGATGCCATAGTTAAACGCTTAAGTTTACACCAACTTTTAAGCCTGACGCCATGGCAGGTAAAAAAAAAAAAAAAACTTCAAGGAAATTAGAAAGCCCAGGTCTTGACCCAGTGCCTTTATTCACTGTTTGAACAGGTGTCCAGAACTAATGTGCCATAAAAGAGAAGGTTGGAGGCTTGCTTTATCTTAAAGAGCGAGTAAAAAAAAGGATTATCTCCTTTTTTTTTTTTTGCTGTGTGAGTTAACACAATGTGGCACCATAATGCTCTGGGCTGCTGGATCCTCAGCAGGTCCACTTATAGAGAAGATAAGATGTTCCAGCCCATATATGGCTGAGGCATTTAGTTTGGCATCACCGCCTTCTCTCATAGAATAAACACTGCAGATGTTGAGCCTACATGTGTCTGCTTGAGGCTGTGAATCTCATCCCATGTCTTGATGACTAATGCAGATTGCTTTAGAGTTCTTAAAATGATTCCATAACTTTTGATATGTCATCATGTGTTTCCTTCTTTTGACATTTTCATTTTAACTGCATCCTTAAGAGGCATTAGGAATTGTATCAGGGAAATCTGGAAAGCACAGCTGGAATAATGAATGATTGGAGTATTGACCTTGAATGACATGTTTGGACAAATTAGTTAGATGGGAGCAATTTTCTGATCTAATTAGTTGTTATCAGTACAGTTAATGGTTTGGTTCCTTCAAGGCATGGTGAAGTTTTTTTTTCCTCAGCATGACAAGTAACAGAGGCCAAACATCTGTCTTGCAGCCGGGTTCTGGGTTGTGTCATTACAGCCCTTTAGAAAAGCCCAGAGTGGCAGAAAATCTGCTGCAGCAGCCGTTCAATGGAGCTGCGCTGTGCTGCACTCACCAGGTAAGCTCCGACTGTTCCCTGAGCCAACATGAGGGCGCATTCCGATATCAGGAAGATCTTGATGTTTGAGAAGCATGATGAGCTTTTACGCAGAGCGTCTGTTTCCAGCATGTCTTCGCCGCCGCCGCTGCTTCGGTCCCGGTGCTTCTTCACCTGCATCCCCGCCGCTTGGAACAGCCTGAAACAGTCAGCGCAGAGGAGGAAGAGGTGGAGGGAGACAGAAACCGGCAGGGAAAGTCTGTTGAGTTGATTCTTCCACCCTTGAAGGCTACATCCGAATACACTCAGCGCCGCGTTTCATTGAGTCAAACAAACTGAAAGGTTTTCATCTGACAAGCTATGGAGCGTTGATCCAAACTCCGCGGGGCTCCGTCGCTGTTCCGCTGCTAAACATCGCTCCCTCGGCAGTGCGCGGAAACCTGTGCGCTTCCAGAAGCGCTCATTGAAGGCACGGCTGAACCGCCTGAATGAAACCCTCCGTCGGATTGCATGGTGGGGCCGCGGAGTTCTGTGGGCTTTCGCGGCCGGTGAAGGTTCTTCTTTAACTCCAGGAGCGGAGGGCTGTCACGGAGCTCCAGTCAGAGCCGCTGCTGTGTGTCTGCGCCTCCTCCTCCTCTCAGTGCAGCTATCCAGTCAGTTACACCAACATGGCGCTAGAGGCGCTGTACTCTGCTACAATTAAAAAAATACAAAATAATCCAAACTCTGCAAAAGTATGGAAGAGGGTTAGGGCCACTGAAAAGAAAAAGTTAACTGATTTTTTAAATTTTATTTCAGTATAATATGAGAAGAGAGTCAAAATTCTGACTTTAATCTGATAATTCTTACTTAAATCTCAGAATTCTGACTTTTTTTCTCTGAACTCTGACTTAATTCTGACAGCATGTTAGCATCATGCCAAAGGTGATGTCTGTTTTAGAGACCCTTCTCTCTTGTTTTAAGCACCTTTTGCTCTTCCATTAATTAAATAGCATCACCGTGGACCCCTCGGGCACGTAAAAAGTCACCTAATTCCGTCATTTTCTAACAATGTGTTACTGGCCCTCCCAAACAACTCACACCTTTGTCAGTGAAGCTGAGTGCTCCCACATCTCTTCCTTCATGGTGCCCATCTACATTAGATTTTAAATTCTGTTAGATTTAAAATTTAAATTCTGAGTTTAAGACCAGAATTCTGACTTTTTTCATATTAAACTGCAATAATATTTAAAAATCATTTAACTTTTTTTTTTTCAGTGGCCCTAATCCTCTTCCTTACAAAAGTCATGTGGACCACTGTGCATGTCTATTATTTATAGTAATTGATATTAAGTAATAATAATATGTACATTAAGCTTGACAATAATAGTTGGTTGGCACTTGCAGTGATGACAGGGGCATTGCTAAAGTCACACTGCTTGGGTACAGAGCCTTAGCCTGGGTGCCATTCCGAACTTAGTCCCGCCCACAAAGTTTGAGGTCGGGGAAGTTCGGTCTGGCTCTGCTCCATAGTAGCGCGAGTATTATCGCCCACTGTCAGGCGATCCAATCAAATTGTCAGGGCGGGCTTTATAGGATGATGGACAGATGACAAACAGTAACGTCATCAACCACGTGACCAATGCGCGCTTGGGTGACAACAGTAATGGCTGCCGCTGGAGAGTTTAGGTGAGTAGATTCTGCTATTAGGTCTGTTCTAGAAGATATCGACAGCAAATTAATTTTAAAAGAGGAACAGAGAAACGCAATCAAGTCTCATCTTCTTATTATAGGCGTGCAACTGCACGCTTTGATTTTTGTGGACAACAACTATGCCTTGCTTAACATACGTCACGCACTCCGTTGCTCTTATTGGTTGTAGGTCTATCCAATTGAGTGTAGAGGCATTTTTTTTCCTGGTTCGTTCGAAACACGCCCCATAATCACAGCTCTATGGAGCAGTATCAGACTCATATTCTGCCTAGAATTGAGTCGGACTACGTCAGGCTAACAGAGCCTACAATACAGGTGAGGTTTTTGATAAGAGTCATATAAGCAGCTCATGAGGTCCTACAGTAAATTAGGGTTAGAAAAATACCACTTATTTGTCAGTGGATCATTCAAAAACATTTTTTTATGTGTAGGATTTGGGAAGTAGTGCCCCCTGTTTCATTATTTGTTTTCATTATTTAATATGTCTTATGGCAAACAAAATTTTTGATTAGTTTAGCAATTCAGAAATATAGCTCAGCCAAGATTGACTTACTAGAACCACCACTGCATTCATTTTCTATTTTATTTCATTCATACATATTTCTTTATTACTTTTTAATTGCAAATGCTCCTTTCAGTAGTTCTGGTTAGTCCAGAAAATAGAAGAACCACATTCAATATATAGATAGATGAATTAAAGCATGAATACAGTAAATAGATAACTAACTAACTAACTAACTAACTAACTAACTAACTAACTAACTAACTAACTAACTAACTAACTAACTAACTAACTAACTAACTAACTAACTAACTAACTAACTAACTAACTAACTAACTAACTAAATAAATAAATAAATAAATAAATAAAATAAATAAGATATTCTTTTTCTCTGATGAATAGATGGTCACAAGCTTAATATCCTTTTTAGCAGGGCTACACTTTGGAAATGGCTCAAAGTACCCTGAAACCTCAAATTTTTATTTAAAAACATTTCTCAAAAGAAAACCTATGCCCTTATTGGGTAAATCTCTTCACATTTGAAAGGAAAATCACCTCCAGTTCTATTCACCACAGCAAGCATGTCAAACATACCCAGAATCATTAAAGGGTGGTTTTGATGTTTTTTGTAAATATGGCTGACTTCTGTTTATATCAGTCTGCTTCAGAAAAACCAGTTAACGACTGACTTGTGGACCTTTGTCAGAGTATAAAATGAATCCAAGCAGTTTGAGGTTTTTGTAATCCAGCAAAGTTGGTCATCACTTTTATTGTTGTTCTTAACATTTGAGACATTTGTTGAAATTCTATTGAAGCACTGAATATGTCTATTTATCATTTACAGATATTTGTTTAAAAGCTTATGTCCAGATGTGTTACAACAGTCAATTCTTTTAATAGTGAAGTTTTTAGATTCTTTAAATGACACAATAATCTCAGTTAATTCATAAAATGTTGGGATATTTCTTGTTATTATCATGTGTCTAACAAATGTTTATTTTGAAATCCTCAGAAAGATTCTAAAGATTCTAACCACATTTGAACCCATCACGTCACAAGGCAAGTGCCACCAAGTGATGCCTTTGTCCCATTCATTCACTATTAGCCTTATAAGAACCTTCATATTAACACTAAACAAGCCGGACAAGTTCCTTCACCCCTAGTTGTACAGACTGATATATCCCGGTAGAACAATCCTACATGGGAATTTTAGTAATATTATGTTTACTTGTGTTCATTTATTGCATAATCATCTAAATATTGAAGTTTTATGGGAAAAGACATTTAGAAGAACAAACATGTCTCAGTAGAAGGGTAGTGGCGGCCTATTGGTTAGGGCGTTGCACTTGGAATCCAGAGGTTCTGAGTTCGAGCCCCACTCCCACGGACTGCCACTCTGGGTCTCTGGGCAAGACCCTTGACCCCACATTGCACAATGGCAGTCCACTGCTACCCAAGGGGATTGGTTAAAGGGCAGAGAGTTAATTTCATTGGTTTTCAGTTGTGACAGCGTAATGACAATAAAGTTGAATTCTATTTTATTGTAGAACTGTCAAGATGTTTTTGACTTTAGTCTAAACAATATGTTTGATTTACCAACACGCCTTACACACATGTGGGAGAAAATCCTGGTAGGAAAAGCTACACAAGTTGTAGTGGAACCAAAACCTTTTTGCTATATGGTGACAGTGCTGCCTTATCCATAGGCCATTCCCTGTTTGGAAGACATGGGAGAACCAACTGCTGCTGTTTAAAAGGAATAATGGAGCAAAAGTTTTGTTGTTTGCTCATCATGTGTCTACCATTTATTATTGGATCATCGTGTCAGCGTGTCTAGGATGAGGTACCGCCGTGGCTATGAAGTAACACAACCACATAATGTGATAATTATGGACTCTGACAAACGAAAAACAAATGCCATGTTATGCCTGCAAATATTTTATGAACTATTTTATATTCAGCAGTACAGGCAGGAGGCTGTGTAAATTAGTAATATTGTAAAATAGGTTTAATAGGAAGAAAAGTAGCCTAAAAATGGTTTGTATGATCAAATTTTTTTAAATTGTTTTTTTTTAAGGATTTCTCTTTTTGATTAGATTTGCTGTATTTTCGGGTTAAAACAAAGACGGATGTTTTAAATATTTAGTTACACATTTGAAAATGAAAGCTACAGATGGCAGGCCAACCATGTCCCACTTCCTTAGAACAGAAAACTGGAAATTACACAAGAACGATTTTAGATTTAATCTCAGCCTCCTCATTCTTTGACTTTTCACTTGGTTGCACTCCAAAGTAAAGTAGTTGTGAATTTCAAACACTTCCATACTTTAAACCAGCATCACTTCCACAAAACAAAACGAAAACAAATGCCTAACTTATCTTCTTTCTGCTGAAGAATTGAACTATCGACAAACATGAGGACAATTTTAACGCTGTATATGTTAATCAAACCAACATTGACAAAGCTTTCCAGCTGAGCAGAGATGTGAAAACCAACAACAAGTATGTAAATACTGAAAGCTTAAACCAGCGGTGTTATGAGAAATGGAAATCTAACATGCGAACGACTTTGTGACCCAGCTGAAACAGCCACCTGGACATGGCTTTCTCTGTGTGTGTGCAAAGTTTCTGTACTGTTATTGTTCACTTTTGATTATTATTCAAACTCCTCACAACAAAACTTGGTTATTAAACACAAAATCACTAACCTGTGATATCACTGTTTTTTTTAAATTGGTTTTATATTCTTTTTTATAACTGATCTTTTTTACTTTTCAGTTGTAGTTTATTTATTTTTTCTAGCGTCCCTTTTAAATGCACTAGCTATAGTTTTCTGACAGGATATTTTCACTGGAAGTTAAATAATTTTCTCTCTTTTATTTTATTTTGGAGAGAAATTGTTTATTCTGTATGTCTGAGATGGTGGCTGTTTGAAAATACCACTGTGTGAATGTTCTTCTTTATCTGTTGTTCTATGATCCTACACCTCTCTTGGCAAGTATTCACAAAACATTAGGTGACAGATACTGAGATATCTGCAGCTCTGATTTTCACACAGGATTTCCCATGTACTTTAATTCATAGCCAAAACAAGCCTACTGTTGCCCAGCAGTCTAAAGTTGTTGCTTTTTGACATCTTAGGCATATTGACAAGTCTCTTTCATGTTGAATACTGTGGCTAAGAATTATCCTGGGAGATTCAGGCAAATAAAGGTTAGAAGCCAGTAGGACACAAAAGCATTTTCTAGCATTTTCAGGTCTATTTCTGATCTACTTGGAAAGAGTTCACTTTATTTGTTTTTTTGTTTAATATGTAGATTTTTACTTGTTTTTTTACTGAAAACATGCAAGTTAACTCCATCTAAAATGAATGAATGCTTCCTTTAAGAGTCCTAACTCAGTACCCATAGAGACTAATACTACCTGGCATTCTAGCTTGTCCTGTGG